GGGAGGAGGAGCCCACGGGTTCGAGACCCGCCCGGGCCACTCATCCAGACCTGGTCTCTAATAGGTCAAAAACGAGCCGGGCGTGGTGGCGCGCGCCTGTCGTTCCGGCTGCTTGGGGCAGAGCCACCGGGCCGGGCCACCGCCCTGTTTTTGACCCGATAAACACTTCATCTCCCCGGATCAGGCTGTCTCATCGGGGAGTGGCCGAAACTATATATATATATACAAAAAACAGCCGGGTGTGGTGGTGCCCACCTGTCGCCCCAGCGATTTGGGAGGCTGAGGCGGGAGGATCGCCCGAGGCCAGGAGGTCGAGGCTACGGTGAGCCATTGATCGTGCCGGGCCCGCACAGCAAGACCCCGACTCCACCACAAACAAGCAAAAAAAAAAATCAGGTGATCTCACAGTTCCGGAAGTTGGAAGTCTGAGATGGCGACACCGGCAGGTTTGGGTCCTGGGGAGGGACCCACAATTTTAATCAATACATGCCTTTGGGGGTGGCTCCCGCCTGTCATGCCGGCCCTTTGGGAGGCCGAGGCGAGGGGATGGCCTGAGCTCAGGGGTTCGAGACCAGCCCGGGCCACTGGGCAGGACCTCGTCTCTACCACAGATGAAAAAATTAGCTGGGTGTGGCGGCGCGCGCCTGTGGTTCCAGCTGCTTGGGAGGCTGAGGCGGGAGGATCGCGGGAGCAACAGTGAGACCGGGACAACGCAGTGAGACCCCAACTAAAAAAAAAAAGGGTGGGTTAGAAGGGTCTTGCCGCGTTGGGCCCAAAACCACCGAACACACTCAGCGCGGTGTGGACGGGTGGGCGCCCCCGTCCACCCCCCATCATGCCCCGGGTGCGAGAATCTCCAAAAAGATCATCCTCGTCATCCACGGAGGCCCATCCCGGCCTCCCCCAGCCACGCCCGCGGGTCCCCGGAGGCCGCTGGGTCCCCGGAACTCCCTCCACGCGAGGGGGTGCCCTCCCGAAGGGGAATTCCGGCGACTTTTGGGTCACCTCGGGGTGGCCCATGTTGGCCCCAGCTGAGCCCACGTCGGTGAGTTGCAAGCGTCCGGCCTCCAACTCGGGGTAGACGCCGCCTGCCGGGGGCGGGGGTCTCGGGGAAGACCCCTGGGGGGCAGGGTGCCCCTTCCCCACCCCCTGGGACGCGCTGCGGTTCCCACGCCCAAGGGGAGCCCAGCCGCCCGGTGGGCGTGGCGGTTTCAAGAGCCCCAGATGTCTCCGGGCTCCCTTGGGCCTGACCCGATTCCGGCGACTTTTGGGTCACCTCGGGGACGCCCCTCTTCGCCCCAGCTGGGTCCAAACAGAGGTCCGGCCTCCAACTCGGGGTAGACGCCGCCTGCCGGGGGCGGGGGTCTCGGGGAAGACCCCTGGGGGGCAGGGTGCCCCTTCCCCACCCCCTGGGACGCGCTGCGGTTCCCACGCCCA